GCTGACAGTTTGAGAAATATCTTAGTTCAGAGCACGTGTCTGAGTAAAAAAGTGTGCATTCAAGATTTTGGACATTAGAGGGATGAAATAACAGAAAAGGAAAATGCCACATAATGAAGAACTAAAATTATACAGCTGACCCAGTATTGTCAGCGTAGTCAAAGATTGCTAGAGTGATTTGGTCATGTACGAGAAATGATAAATCATTGGAATGAGGTCATTTCAAGGGCCGGCAATGGAGGGTTATTATTTTATTCAGTGGTGATGGAATTGGAGGTGTTAAATTTTTGAATTTGATGACCAGAGATTTGGTTTCTTAGTAGCTTATCTTCAGGCACAGGATTCTCTGTTGGCAAATCTATAAAATGGTTTTAAGTTGCACGTAACAATCGACTTTTCATAGAATATTCTGCACCATAGAGAGTGAGTTGCGTGTTACTATGTAGAAAGTTTGCTACAATATTCTCGGGCAAAATATGACGGTGAACATTCTCTTCGTTCACGTTTTTAATTTGGTGAACTTAACAAGAAGCTTGACTGCTTCTTTGCCACCGACTTAACCAATATCAGGGCGTTTGATATTTAAATACATTTAGACTTCCATTCATGAAATAAATCTGAGTTACATTAGGAGGTAAGGCGGGTCTCGGGTTGCACACTACTTTGGCAATACTATTACAAGCGAACCTTCTTCGACTTATGAGCCTTAGGCTTTCTCAGTTTCTAAGTAATTTGCGTTAATTCGTTATATTAACATAATGTTTGTTCGGTGTATGTAGTTTATTTGAACTTTGAGTCATGTGGAAGCTATTTTAACTCGGGGGTGGTTTTCGAGGATGAAATGAAGGAGCGGAATAAGGTTTCTGCTTCGCCGGTAATCTATTGTCTAGCACCCTCCTGCAGTGAGATTCTGCGGTGATTTTTATCATCACAGTCACCGCGAAGTCACGCGTGTACTTCGCAATGTGCACTCCACTGTATTCACTGCATTAATCTCTACAAAAACATCCGCCCAGTCAGGGGATTCCAAGCAAGAATTCATAGACAAGAAATGCTATTCGACATCGCGGTCGAGTGATTGGCACGCCTGCCTCGTATGCAGGAGGTAATAGGTTCGAATTTTGGCCCGGAGACCTGCTATCCTGGCCAAGGATTTTTTTGGTTTTACTCAGTCCCTCCAGGCAAATATCGGTATTGTACCTGAAATTAGGTCAAGACACGTTCATAATTTATCAGTCACTAATCGTCCTACCATTCTACGGTGTATATCGGAGCAACTGAAAGCGTTATTAAATAGACCAAGAATAAATATGACTACAGTTTTAAATATTCTGATGTGAACATGTCGTGAAAATAAGATAAAAGGAGAAATACCAAGGCTGGAGAAAATTACAGAATGAGAAACTTTTTTTTAACTCTTCTGTCAAATAGATGGGGATTAAATGGGCGGGATATGTAGCACATATAGAGAGATGAGAAATACGAACAGAATTTTAGTTGGAAAACCTGAATGACAGCGTCCAATTTGGAAATCTACTAACGAGTGGAAGGATAATATTAAAATGGATATTATGTAAGTAATTTGACTGGAATCGTATGGCTCAGAACATTAACCATTGGCGGGCTGTTGTGATCATTCGGGAGTTATACCTCCACTTCATTCGTTTGCTTGGTGTGATGCTTAGTTAAGTACCGGGGACGATTTTTACAATTTGTCGTAGTGGACTGTATGAAAGTGGGTGAGTTTGGGGCTTGGAATGTCGCTCCCATCATGTTACATTTTCATACCCCAGAGGAGAAGAAAGTGATCAGTAATAGAGTTAATATTTGGTGGGAGGGTGTTCACCACTACATAGCAGTTCTCGATATATATTGTAATTTCTTCTAGCAACATGTATTACACGCCATTTGCATACAGATATTCATATGATGCTGTAGGGCTGTTAGTTCGCCGGAGGGGGTGCCCTGGCAAATACGCACACACAAGCAGCGGGGCATGTAACAAACCATCGTAATGTTATTTGGTGCAGAAATGCTACCAGCATGCATGGCACAATGCACTCTATACCCCGGCTAACACATCCAGCCCCCGGCTACTGCATGGGGAATGTGGATGTTACGGTGTATGCGAGACGTGAGATTTCAGGTTCTCACGGCGATGAGTACGATGGTGACTGTCTTCTGGGATGTTGCGCCGTAGCTGACCGACGTTTCAAAGGTGCTTACTGCGTTTATCAGCGTGATAATGGAGCCAGTAAGAGCTTCTGAAAAGTCTGTAAACTTTTACCAGACTACACGGTGCAACATCCCGGAAGGCAGCCATATTTATTTGAGACGTGTTCCGTGGAAATGTAAGAATGCATCTCATAATTGGCTCTTCGTGCGATATTTTTAACTGAAGTAAGAGGAATGGGATTACAGTCTGGGTGACTGAAAATTTTTGGAATTTCCTCTTTTCATCAGACACGTACGTAATGTACCTTGAAGTGGGTAACGGTGATCTCACCAAATAATTACTTCCTCATTCTTAATTGTTATATTTACGTATCATTCATTCTATGTCCAATAATATCCGCATTTGACACAGCGTTGTTAATTAATAGGAATCAATCAACATTGGCATTAACTGCAATCAGTGCCTGTTCTACATCACGATATTTTCCGCTGGTTATTTATCTCTGAAATTTGTGATTACTGTCTCCCCCTTCGTTAAAAGAACAGGGGTAAGTGGGTGGTTGGCAGAACCAAAGTAAACCACTTTGTTCACATGAATAATGTTTCATCCAATTTCTTAACGCACCAGAAGGGCGAGGCTACAGTGTGTTCATAAAACTGGGATATGTTTTCATGCACAGGTGGTCCTCTAGAGAGAAGTGGTGTTCAGTCCATGAAAGTATCTATTGTCTTATCTTCTCCGTGTGTACAATTTTCTAATACTTAATCTGTTCCCTGCAATCCATGCCTACTTTCGTTTACGCTTGACAATTCTTTTGACATCTCTCTGTGACGTGAAAACTATGTTGTAGGCTGAACCAAACGACAACCTTTACAAATACTGATATTTTTCCCTTTCAACGTTTTTAGACACCTTATTTTTCGTCTTTCAGATGTCCCGAGTATTTTTGTTGCTTTAAGATCTTTGCTGATCTATACGATGGTATAATTTTCGAAACGCCATGTATCGTGTTAATATCCATAACGTAACAGAATGTATCAACGTATGCAAACAACATAGGGGAGGACGGGGGAATGGCGGTCAGGTATTTTTCTGACGAAGGTACCAGATAGATGCTTCAAGCTGGTGCTGACATCTAGTGCTTGATTAAATGAAGTGCAACAGTGAATTCCACTATTTGCTTCTGGCGCAGTTACTGCGATAGTTGCATGTGTCTGTTTTGTGCTCCAGTGATCTAATACTTTACATTGAAATATTTGAGGTGAGTGACCTTTCATTGAATTATATCTGGGCACATGCAGAATGCAGTGGCTGGGAATTTACGGATGGTTATCTTTGTGATCTGTGTTTCAGAAGAAGAAATACAAAATGAAAAAGGTTATTGAAGACTTCTATCTTAATATTCCGTTAGAATTTGTACGTTCAAATGATTTAGACGTGTAGACATTTTGTAAACTAAGATACATGCCTATTACAAAGAAAACACATTTTATTCACTCATTATCTTATTTACTTCAGTGACATCTTGAAGGTCAAATAGTGACCGTTTTTACCCCTAAGGGTGGGGAATACCGGTCAAAGCTACTTCTTCAGTTATCATTTCCTAGAGAATTTTTGTTACGTTCAACGTATTTTATACTGCATAATTAAGAAGCAGACCCTTCATACTAAATGTCAGTTTATATAAAGTTTTAACTTTGCGTATACTTTTCGTTTTATCTAGCTTTTCTCTGAAGTGACCGCCATTTACCCATTCTCCCCTATATGAACTGTTTATATATATTAATACTTAACAGCGATGTACATACCTAATTTCGTGACGAAACCGCATGTTTTATTGTATGCACTAGTGGGCCTTTATTTTACATCCTATTTGTATGGAAGTACAGTCAGTGCAAACAAAGACCTTTTTTTACTGTGCATTCCATGCATAGGTAGGCTAGTTTCGATTGTAGTTCT